GTTATAGCAATATTTTGGGAAGCAAATTCAAACTCAAGGTTCAGTGTGTGTATTTAGCCAGGTTTTCTCCCGGTTAATTCATCTTGTTAAAGGGAAATTGCATAACCTGGGCTATTACCACAAAGAAAATGCAAAAAATAAATTTGTTTGATAGAAACTCGCTTGTACAGTCCCGTCTCTCTTAAATCGAAGGCATATTTAATTTTGTTGTGTTTATTTTTAGCGCCGACTTCGAGCTTCATGCATGACTGGTCACGCCACCCAATTTTAAGCCAATAACGAGTCCTGTTATATGAAAAATACATTACAGTAATTTATGCATTAGGTTCGACACATGAAGAGAACGCCGTATGAATCAGCTGCCACTCCAACGTCGCACAGTGCGACAGACCCTGCCGAATTTAATATTGTTTGCCGCACCAAACATAACCTGCCGAACCAAACTGATTCAAACACCGCTCTTCTGTCGTACTTAACTTACCAGTTAGGTTCGGCGCATGAATAGAGCGGCGTTTGGAACAGGCCTTAATTAGCTNTGAATTGAAGAACTCTGTCCAAATAGAAAAGCTGTGACTAACATTTCGCTGTTATAGCAATATTTTGGGAAGCAAATTCAAACTCAAGGTTCAGTGTGTGTATTTAGCCAGGTTTTCTCCTGGTTAATTCGTCTTGTTAAAGGGAAATTGCATAACCTGGACTATTACCACAAAGAAAATGCAAAAAATAAATTTGTTTGATAGAAACTTGCTTGTACAGTCCCGTCTCTCTTAAATCGAAGGCATATTTAATTTCGTTGTGTTTATTTTTAGCGCCGACTTCGAGCTTCATGCATGACTGGTCACGCCACTCAATTTTGAGCCAATAACGAGTCCTGTTATATGAAAAATACATTACAGTAATTTTTGCATTAGGTTCGAAACATGAAGAGAACGCCGTATGAATCAGCTGCCACTCCAACGTCGCATATTGCGACAGACCCTGCCGAATTTAATATTGTTTGCCGCACCAAACATAACCTGCCGAACCGAACTGATTCAAACGCTGCTCTTCCGTCGTACTTAACTTACCAGTTAGGTTCGGCGCATGAATAGAGCGGCGTTTGGAACAGGCCTTAATTAGCTTATCTGGAACATCTAATGATGATTTTTGTACATTCAGGCTTGAGAAAAGCCTGCAGACATTACAAAACTAGATATAGGGCTATTCTGATCATTTTGTCCGCCACCGCCCACTGCTGTTGTTGATGTAATTGTTTTGTTACTTTTATACCTTTCAACCAGCTTATATAAAGCTCA